GGTTGGGGATGGGTACCCACTAATTTCCCCATATGTTTTTTTTTTTTAAAGATTCACAACCAAAACTAATTATACATTCAATCTTTTTTCTTTTATTTATTTATTTATTTATTCAGGTTCACAACCAACTTCTTCTTCTTCTTCTTCTTCTTCTTCTTTTTAAGATCCACAACCAAAGCTATTTATACCTCCAATCTTTTTTTTTATTATTATTTTTTATTTTTAAGGTTCACAACCTTTTTTTTTTAATTTTTAAGATTCACAACCAAAGCTAAATATACATTCAATCTTTTTTCTTTTGTTTTTTATTTATTTATTTTTTAAGGTTTACAACCATTTTTTTTTTTTTAAGATTCACAGCCAAAACTAAATATACATTTAATCTTTTTTCTTTTGTTTTTTTTTTAATTTTTTTTTTAAGGTTCACAACCTTTTTTTTTTTTAAGATTCACAACCAAAGCTAAATATACATTAAATCTTATTTTATTTTATTTGGCTCAACAATAAAATCAAATATACATTAATTAACATTGTCACATTATTCTTGTCAAATTTTATGCATATCTCGAATTTTTTAAATTTATTTAAAAAAATTAAGGACACTGTGTAGTGTAGGTTTCAGTTTGCTTTTCTATGTTATTTTATTTTGTTATGTATTGTAATTTTCAGAATGGTTTGATTGTTCTGAAATTTCAATTAACGAATATGAATCTATTTGTTTTATGTTATCACACAATTCATACAACATATATATATATATATATATATATGAATGTATTTGAAAATAAGGAAATTGTAAAGAATCGAAACAAGCATGAGTCGTGATTGGTTAGAAAGGATGGGTACAAAGATTTATTTGCTGGAAAAATAAAAAGGGGATACAAAGTCTTACTAAATTAATTTTTTTAAAATGAAAGAATTTTTCTTAGTTATGAACAGATTTAACTGAAATCGGCTTGTTTCCCAATGTTATGCTTCATTTATTCAGATAGAAAATATTTTTTAATGAAAAATATTTTTTATAAAAAAAATTAAAAATATATATTTTTTTATATTTGGTGGTGGTGGTGATGGAATGAAGGTGAAAGTAGAGATTGTGACATAGTGGTGGGGTGATGGCGGCAGTGATGATGGTAGTGGATATGGTGATGGTAGTGTGATAGTGAAGGTGAGAATAATGGTGATGGTGTTGTGAAATTAGTAAAAATTTAATTGAAAAAATATTTTTTGTTTTTTAAAAGTAACAAACAACAAAATTGGTGGGGGACTAAAGGAAGAAGATGGAGGATGGATTAGGTGTGGTAAGAAATAGATATCTTAAAATGAGTGGTTCAGATTTGTTAAAAGGTATAATTAGATTTTGGTTAAATTAAAATGAATGGTTCAAATTTGCTAAGAGAAAGATGGTTTAACGTCTAAAATGTTCGTGGTTAAGAGATCAACAAATAATTCCTTACTTATGCCTTGATGCAATTTAATATGGGTCTTATAACACTTTCTTCAAACAGATTCTTTCACATTTTATTTCTTCAAATAGGCTCTTATAACATTGTAAACAAGTTCTTATAACGTGTAGGGGAGAGAGTGAGAGAGAGAGAGATGATTGTAATTTTTTTTTAATCTTCCACGTTCTTCCACATTTTTTTTTTTCAATTACTAAAACTTGTTTGATTGTCTCAAAATTATATATTTGATTATTATAAAACAAACTTTTTAATTAATTAATTAATGTGTATTTGATTTTGTTGTTGAACCAAATAAAATAAAATAAGATTGAATGTATATTTAGCTTTTGTTGTGAACCTTAAAAAAAAACGCCTGAATGAACCTCCTAGCCAGATTAGAACAACCGCTAATCCAGACCAAAACCGACCACCATCTACTCTGTTTTGACCCCTAAACCAAGCACCCCCTTGTGAAACAAAACAAAACAACCCCAATGGGAGCTGGACCAGCAGCACCGAAACACGCCTAAGTGGGAAAATAATGTGGGAATCAAGTTATTATAATGAAAAACCAAAGAGAGAGCTGGGCCAGCCGACCTCCATAGCCAAAAGCGGCGGCCGGCTTAGAGATAGAGAGAGCTTTTTTTTGAATTCGAGACCTGGAGAGCTTTCTATATGTTTGAACCGTTTAATACGTATAGTTCGTCGAATATCTTTTTTATGTAGAAAGTTACATTGATCAGATATTAATAACCATTTGAACATATCACATTTGTGTCAATAATTTAAAATCATGCTTACTATTGACACAAATTTGATTGATCAAGTAGCTATCGATATTTAACCAATATAATTTTTTACCGGGATGAAATACACCATGAGTTCTATACATTGAACGGCTTGAATCATAGATGTGGATTAAAAAAAAAAAAGTGGTTGTTAACATTAAATATAAAAAATAAAAATAAAATAAAAATGGGGATTAAAGTGGGTTGGGAAAAATCCAAACCCATTAGAAAATGGGGAGGGTGGTACCCATGGGGAATGGGGAATGGGGAAAATTTATTATAGGGGAATGGGGATGGGGAATTAATATCCACCCCATTAACCTCCATTGCCATCCCTAAATACTGTAAAGACATTCATTCTTAACCTCTTCACGCATTATGTTATTCACTAGGCTTTAGCTCACTGCTCATATATATATGTAGGTGTACAAGCACCGGACCGTTGCTAGAAGCGTCGGGATAAACTCCAGTTTTGTCAAGCCAACCTATGTGCCTCACTACGAGGTTCCGAGTCCGTTCAAGCTAAGGTTTTTGGAGCGTTTTAATTTCCCCCTCTTTTTTTTGTATCTGTTGTAACTACTATTTAGACAGAATGATGTCTTTGTACTGTACTGTCTAATAGGGATTAAGTCCCTGTCCTGAAAGATTATAAATGTTGTACATACTGTTTTGCACTGATTGTATATATGTATGAAAAGTCTTTTTGCATACAGGCTGTCACAGCTCATTGGACATTGTCTATTTACTGTTTTGGCTTCCGCCATGCCCCTATACTCTGTATTATTGTCTGACTGTTAAGCAGGTCTTCGGTAATCTCGGATTACTGGCCGGTTACGGTACTAAACCCATAGAGGCGGGTTTGGGTCGTGACAACCACAAATTGTCATAACTTTATTAAAAAAATTACGTAATATTGTGACAAAAATACGCAACATATACCAAGAATATGTGTGATGATGTGCATATGATACACATCCTACATAGGGTGTGTACCATGTGGGGTGTGTACAGAATGGGGTGTGTACAGAAGGGTTTCGCCCACAATATATATGAACTATTCAACTGGAAAAATTATATAATACACATCTCAAAAAAAGCGTACATCATATGCTCCACTTATGATATTTGTGGCTTTTGGTTATAATAGATTGTACTATTGATTATGACTTAGTTATAATTTATTGTGGTTGTTTTTTGGTTAAAACGGAAGATGACTTTGGTTGATTATGATTCAATTATAATTTATTGTGGTTGTAATTTTAGTTATAACCAAATAGTCATTATGCCTCAAAGGTGTTTGGTTATGATCCATTTAGTTATGACATAAAGTAATTTGGTTATGACTCATAACTTCTACATGAAAAATTATTAGATATTCAAGGAGCATTACGTATTCATACTCCTTCACTAATCATCATTCACTATACCCTCTCATATTCTTTAATCACCCAACACAAAATCATAAGTCTCACATTTTTCGCCATTTTAAGGAGCGTGTATTTTAGTATGACAGGTTAAATGACAAGTCTAATTCTTTCCTATTTTTTATAATTATTATTAACTAAATACGAATTATCTTCACTTTTTCCATTCAAATTGTACACATTATAGTTTTGACGAGCTAGCTGACCATATGGGTCCAGTTCTTGTTAGAGTATCTCTAATGATGTGTTAAATTTTTGAACCAAAGTTATTTTTAACTAAATCATCACAAAATACCTTCTTTAATGGTATGCCAAATCTTGAACTGAATTTGATATAAGATTTGGTTTTTCCAAATTTGCTACATCAACAAAAAGCAATTATAATCACTAGATGCTTTTCCAAAAATAGATCCAATGATCACAAATTGACATGGGAGTTGGTTGTGTCAAAATAACATGAGAACCATTATAGTGGTATAGTTTAAAAATGATTTTTAATTTTTTTTTTTGGATTGTCACGAGCCAAAAAATGATTTTAGCAAAGCTTATTTTAAAATTTTCTATTGGAATTGCTCTTATAAAGAGTGGACAGAGGAACAAAGAGAGGAGAAATTGCAAATTAGTAGAAACAGTAAAAAAAGTAATTGTACTATAAATAAAATCTTTTTGTGATACAATTATGACAAAAATGACTTACACAATACACATAGGAAATTTACCCCCTTTGGCAATTTTCCCATACCTCTCCAGCTGGAGAATTCAATTATTGGACAAAGGAGTACGCCAAAGAAAATGACATCTCGTCTTTGGAAAATTATTGTCCACCACCGCCAGAGTCGTCACCATCATGCTCATCAACATTGCCACCATCACCAGTAAGTTTGTAGCTAAAGATATCTACATGAAGACACGCAACTGAAATGGACACATACGGCTATGTTTATGGAGAAAAAATTTAATTTAATTCAATTCTACCCGTGGATTATAAGTTTGAAGCTATTTCAAGCAAATATTGCAACTATTGAACTTTGATCATCTCGACTTTTTGAACCAATTTTCCTCCTCCTGGGGACCGCCACAATCCCTTTCCTTTGAACTTCGATCCACTTTGCCTACTTTTGGGGACCCCTACGCTCCCATTTAGCAGTTTGAAGTACAGAGAATGGCATATCATCTTATTCATAAATAAATGATATCATCATTCGAACCACTTTGCCAACTTTTGGGCACCCCTACGCTCCCATTTAGCAGTTTGAAGTACAGAGAATGGCATATCATCTTATTCATAAATAAATGATATCATCAATTGTGACTTGTGGAGATACATGCTATAAGATCGAAAATAGAACATTAAACAAGGTACATACCATCATCATGTCCCTTCACAGCTTTAAAGTGCCACCAAAGCAGTTGATACATCTTAATAAAGCAAGGAATTTAACAAAGCCTCAATTACATTCAAATCTATAATTACAACCTCTATTACAAGTTCAATGGACTCCTATATATATATATATATCAGCACAGAGATGCAAAAGCTCTGTTATCAATTACACCTGGCCATATCCATGTATTGTTCATATGCTTCTGGCCATTAATATTTTTACCATCATGATGTCCCTTCACAGCTTTAAAGTGCCACCAAAGCAGTTGATACATCTTAGTAGAGCACGGAATTTAACAAAGCCTCAATTACATTCAAATCTATAATTACAACCTCTATTACAAGTTCAATGGACTCCTATATATATATATATATCAGCACAGAGATGCAAAAGCTCTGTTATCAATTACACCTGGCCATATCCATGTATTGTTCATATGCTTCTGGCCATTAATATTTTTACAAAGTGTACTATGGGCAAGAAGAGCATAACGAAGCAATTAGAATAAGAGTAGGCACAAAACTATGCAACAGCAGAGGAAAAAACAAACTCGGCTGAGCGATTCATCGGTTTGCATCATGTGCCTTCTCACCCTTGGACTATTGCTCCCCGCAAGGTGATAGGAGTTTGGATACGAATATAAGGTAGTTTCTGAGTTCCCGAAAATCCTGGCAAAAACCATTTCCTTAAGCATGGCAACAATTGGGTGAATCGCATTTGTTGTCATCGTGCCACTAAGGTTGACCATGGGCATGGCAGAGTGAGGGTGGTATGGCAGAGACTGTTGTGGATAACTGTGATGATGATGAAGTTGCTGAGATGGACTAGAAGTTGTGTTGGCTGCAGTTGTTATCAGTGTGTGGACCCCGCAAGCAGGACTTGGAGGCCTTCGTGGTACGACTACACCAAGATGTGGTGCTTTTCCTTGGGAGGATTTTGCAGTTTGGCCCCTGCCATAAAGTGGGACTAATGTTCGTCGTGAAATTTCAACTTTGCACACAGGGCATTGTGGCTGTTGCTGGTCGGGGTTTCCATTCTGGAAATGGATCCATTTGTAAATGCAGGGCCAGCAATAGAGGTGACCGCAAAGTGTGACAACTGGGTCCTGCACAAAGTCTAGGCAAATGTTGCAGTCGAAACCACCGGAAATATTATTCTCACATCCGTCACCAGATGCCAAGACAGATTTCCAGTTCCCTATAGAAGCCTGGTTTTCTTCAATTGAGTCATTTCGTGCCAAAGCCTCTTCAAAGTACTGTTCCATGGCTGTTTTGTGTGCTTCAAAATGTATCCTTCTTACTTAGTTGCCGAGGTCTGGAAACATATACCACAAAGAGAAAGTTAGGATTCCAAATGTCCAAGTTCTTTACACGATGAGATAAGAAGATTGTGAACAGAAAATTTTAAATCCACATGGTAAATGCTTATATACAAAGGTAACAAAAGGTTCATAACACTATCAAACCTCTAAGACCATCCACCATGAAATTTTTGTTAAAAAATAAAAGCAACAAACTCATCCATCATTTCCCCTTGGAGACAGGAATTATATACTTGGAAATCCTAATCAAAGATTACACACTTGTTTGCTCTGTATACATGTGAAGTACTAAGAAAGCATAGCATTTTTTGTCATAAGCAAAAAAGCTTAGCAATTGGTAGGTGAGAATTAGGTTAAACATAAATTCTCTCAACTCCTCCCAACCAACTACCAATCCACGGTTTCAATAAGTGGGGCACCTAATAGAGCTTAACCCAGTAATTTCTTTGAGAATGTTTATCAGTAACCTAATCATTTCAATTAAAGCCTCATACATGAATTGAAATAAAAAAAAAGATAGTTCTAGAAGATGTATTATGTTAGTGGCCATGAAAACTCCATTCAAATGGTTAATAGCATCTAGTTGGAATCATTTATTCCCCCAATACTACCACCAAAATAAGAGCAATATTATCAACAAATGGGTATATATGCATAGTGAGAAGACGAAAAATTATTAGAAATACTATGCATAGGTTTTAAATATATGCATAGTGTGAAGTACTATGTGGCATTGTCAGAAAATAAATAATTAAATAAATATTTAAAGCCTAAACTCCTCATCTTGCAAACTCAGTTTAGAAATGGTTTAACTCTAGGTAAATTATGTAAATTATAAACTAACATAATCAAATCTAAAGACATACATAAATTTCCACTTTTTCTAGTTAGGACATTAGACAAAAGAAAGAGGCCTTATCATTTCAGAGAAGCCCAAAATCTTAATGTCCAAAACCATAAGGAGTGAATTTTGAATCCTTAATGTTGTGTTTGGTTAAGGGATTTGAGGAGGGATTTGGAAAGGGAAATGGAAAAGGTAGGTGAAATATGAATAAAACATGCCTAAATTTCACATAGTTTCACACACCTTTTCCCTTTCCCTTTCCAAATTCCTCCCCAAATCCTCTAACCAAACACACCATAAGTTAATTCCTCATCATTATTTGGCTATGCTGTAACCAAACTCTGTTAATTCTAATAAAACATATTAAAAGATAAAATCTGATATTTCAGTCCACTATTTAAAATCCAAACAGTAGTCCTAGATCCTGAAGTATTCCATAATGAAATCTTGTACCCCCATCCATCAGAGTTTACCCATTACAAATTCAAAAAACCCATATACTATCACAGAATCTTGAATTTGGGTAAGAGGTAAAACCAACAGCACCACACACGAAGGAATAAAAAAATATTCTTTCCACCCTTTCAAAAAGAATTAGTCATAATTAATTACACAATGGAGCAACAAGAGAAAAAAAAAAAAAATAAAATAAAATAATTACATGGATTAGTGTATCTGGTTCAAGTGCTTTCTAGGGTGTCTAAGAGCCATAGGTTGGTTTCCCCAAGATGTTCTGATAATTAAAAAAAAAAAACAAGAGCTTATCCATAGGAGTCAAGGAATGCTTATTTTATTCAAGTAATGCTCAGCATGTCCCCCTAGAAGAGGATGGGCTTTTTTGACATGTATCTCGAGATATAATTTTTGAGAAAATTTTTTAAAATTTTGTTTGTTCGAAGTTTTTGAAAAAAAATTCCAAAATCAGTTTCTCTCTCCTACACATCAAGCAATCACTTTTTCTCTCTCATCTCCCATTCTCAATCACTTTTTCTCTCACACACATCTACTCAACTACAATAAAATATCAAATTATCTCAAACTCTCAAACTCCAAAACTATTTTCAAAATATACAACCAAACAAATCAAAAAAAAATTCTAAACTCTTTCCTCAAAATTTTTAAAAATTTTTTATCTCAACATACAAACCAAACGCACGATATTTCTCCAGTACCTGCCGCCACCATATAGTATTCATCTCGACCTGGTGATAAATAAAGCATCCATACCCTTTTTGATTTCTTATAAATTTCAAAAACTGAGCTTTGTAGAAAGCCCCAATGACCAATCTTCCCATGAATAGATAAGGATCAATCCAGGCCGGTCATTCAATGTTGGATTTGGATATTGTTATGTGTTACTGATTCACTTCGCCAACAAGAATAAAGGATGAAAGATAAAACTATATACGTACACATAAGTATATAGGTTATCTTCCCTAAACCCTAAATACTATATCAAATGAGCTGAACTAGCTGTTTTCTTTTCAAATTTTTTCTTAAACTAAGAAGATGATGTACCACCATATTTGAAGCCTTCCATTAAAGCCATCAGAAGGATAAATTATCGACTCTTGCTTGAACCAAAAAAAGGGGTTTCTTAGGTTGAAAAATTAAGCAATTGTGTGTTTCTCTGTCACCCAACTCGTAAATTCTAGACTCTTCCAATCTAATATACTGAAACCATGAAAACAAAGAAAAGGAAACACAAATTCATAACCCATGAAAAAAAATTCAAATTGAACTCCGTCGCTACACAATTCCATGAACAAATACGAATTGAGACAGAGAAATCGTCGAAACAAACGCGTCTACTCACAAAATCTTTCGTTCATTATTATTCACATTCTAGGCCTTGGAATCCCAAGAACTTGAATTCAACAAGTACCAAAGACTGCGCTACAAAAGCTATACATACAAAGGAAGAGTAAAAATCCAAAGGGTTTGGTTCGAAAACAAGTCAGAATTCCAGGCCTGAAACATCAATGAAACACAGAATAGTCCAAAATCTAAGATCTACACTCTTACAGAGAAAAACGAAATTTTTTTAAGAGATCTATATGTGCACAGTGAGACTGAATTAGAGAGAGAATACATACCGGTAGTTGAACAATCGTATATCTGTGTGTATTATTCGAAGCTTTAGTAACGGAGCTTCAACGGCGGACCTAAACTTACTGAGAGAATGCCAGAGAGAGAGAGAGAGAGAGAAGAACAGGTGAGGTGAGGTGAGGTGAGGTGAAGAGAAGCTGTGTTATATATACATTTGTAGGGGGAGAAAAAAATTGAGACGAAAGGGCCTCTTCGGGAAGTTGGTTAGGAGGCTTTTGTTTTTTGTTTTTTGTTTTTTTTTATTTTTTAAATGGAGTTTTTTTTGATAAATTTAATTTTTAAGAGTTTTATTTCATTCCATTCATATTTTTTTTTATTATATTAGGTCCTATTTGAGGTAAGAAAATCAAAACATCTTGAATCTCTACTCCCCTACTATTGTTGATATTTAATGTTGATTATCATTATATTTTCACTCTAAAAAAAAATACATTAACTACGCACCACTATTTAATGTTGATATATATTACACACAAAAAATTAAACATGATTCTTTATTAATGACGTAAAAATGAATGTTCACATCAGATGACATTGTGATAAAGGTGATATTAGGGTTCACAATATTATTGCATCAAATTATACAATCACAAGCCTTAACTTGAAATAAATTTTTGTCATCGTGTTTTCAATTAGATGATGTGAATATTCATACTAAAATATACAAATGTGAACGTTCACATTATTACATTAAACGAGAGAGAATATTCACATGTTGTGAACATTCACATCACTACATGTTGTAAATAAAAATGTATTGTTAATTAAAAATATAATAAATGTTATTTTTAATGTGTTGTCAATTAAAAATAAGAAGGTTCACATATTATGAACGTTTACATCATTACATTAGATGAGAGAGAATTTTTCGAAAAGGTGTTGTGAACGTTTACATCAGATAAGAGATAATGTTCACATTATTTTTAATAAGTTGTCAATTAAAAATATATTTACATTAGATGAGAGAGAATGTTCACATTATTTTTAATGTGTTGTCAATTCAAAATATATTCACATTATATAATAATATAAAATAACAACATCAATATTATTTAATTTGTGTATGAAATTTCACATGTCTTGGTCCTTTCCTTTCTCTCTCCCCTCCACATTAAATATCAATATTAAATATAAGAGTATAAGAGTCTAATAAAATAGTGTAAATCAAGAAAAATGATTTTATAGAATAAAACTATAAATATTAAATACAAGAGATTAAGTGGGTTAAAAAAAATTGTCATGGACTTTTTGAGTTAAAACATTTCTAAATGAAATTTATCAATAAAAATTCTTTTTTTAAAGTTAATAGAGATGAAATATATTAAAATAATTAATATGACAAATTGTTATATTTAAATTATAATTATTTATTTTTTTCTTATAATTATCAAATTAATCATAAAAAAAAGGTTAGCCAATTTTTCAAACATAATTTTTTTAATTGCCGTTTGGCAATATGGTTGGAAGTAAGTTAAGACTAAAAAAAGTATAAAAAGATGGCCTTGTTTGGTAAGGGTTTTTTTTTTTTTTTAAATAAAAAAATAAATTAGGCTAAAATAGTTAATAAGATAAAATATCACATCAAATTCATAATTATTTTATTTTTCTCTTACAAATATCACATTTAATTACAAAAAAAATCTAACTCTCTAACCAAACACAAATATATATTAAAATAGCTAACTTCTCAAACGAAACCAAATAATCGTTTCATTTTTTAAAATTAAAAATATTAAAAAAATTTAAAAAATAAAAAAAATTCCTTCTAAACAAAACTAATTGAATCAGGTTAAATTAATTAAAAAAATCAAAAAATCATATTATGATCCCCCTCCCCCAAAAAAAAAAAAATGAACCCTTAAAAGCATCTCCAACCCTGAACCAAAATTTTTATCAAATCTGAGTAAAAAAAATGACTTTTTCCTCAATCTGATACCGAGTGCTCCAACGGTTGATTTTCATCAAATTTTCATCAAATTTGTGCCCGGATAACCGGTTGGTCGACCGGCCGGTCGACGGGGTGATCGACGCGGTCGACCGGTTAAGCCAAAAAAAAATTTTTTTTTTTTTTTTTCAACTGTTTGAACCTTTAGGTGGTCAACCGGCCGATCAACCAGCTGGTCGACCGGTTAGTCTCCCCCAACGGTCATGCACAGTGTTTTAGTGAAATGCAGAGCCTGTCCTCCTTTTGGTGAAACGTTTCGTGAATTCTCGATTTGATATCAATTTGGTAAAACCGTTGGAGCTCCAAACAGTACTTTTTTCACCAAATTTCAAATTTGATGCTAGATTTGGTGAAGGATTGGAGATGATCTAACCAAGCTAAAACAGTTGAAAGTCTAAACAATAAACAAATAAATAAATAAAAATAATAATTAATATAGTTAAGTTTCGCAAACCAACCCAACTTCCACGGGGCGTTGCCGACGAGTCCGGATCCTCTGCAAGGTTTTCTTGCAGCGCATCCGGCAATGCAAGGCAACGACGTCGTTTACCCTTTTTTTTTTTTTTTTCAGCTTCTTCTCTACTTCTCTTTTCAGAGACTTAATCTCCAAAAGTTCCAAATCGAAAACCAGAGGAAGACGAATGTGGGAAGACGAACAGAGGACTGACGACCGGAAAAATGAACGCGGAGTCCTATCAAAGGCCCAAAATGTCTCAGATTCTATGTATATATATGTATACATATATATCATATATGTATCAAGTTATATATATATGTTATAAGTTCTATATATATGTCTCTTCTTCTTCTATATATACACACATATAATGATATAATATGTACTGTCATAGTTTTTTAATTGCAATTTTGTAAAAAATAGGACTTCTCTTTCATGTTTAGGTTCTTTCTCTCTCTCTCTCTCTCTCTCTCTCTCTATATATATATATATATTACAGAATTCACTGAATGAGTATATCAAGCCCCAAAAAAATTGTTAAGCCACTAATAAGGTGGTGGTGCCCTGTTTGGGTGTTAAGATCAAAATATTTCCATTATTTCACCATGCCTTCTATTTCCATGCAACCCAGATTTCTTCCTGTTTGGGTGTTATGATCAAAATCTTTCCACTAAATTTCACCATGTCTTGTATTTCCATGCAACCCAGATTTCTTTTGAGAGGGAACCCTAGATCAAAAGCTCTAAGATTAAGGCAATACTTAGAAAATCATCCATTCGTCTTCCAGTCCTCTGGTTTTCGTTTTTGGACTTTTGAAGATTAAGGTCTGTGAAAAGAGAAGCAGAGGAGAAGAAACTGGAAAGGAATGAAAAAAAAAGGGGGCAAAAACGAGGCAAACGACGTCGTTTGCCTTGCACTGCAGGATGCGCTGCAGGAAAACCCTGTAGAGGATCTGGACTTGTTGCCGACGTGACGTGTGACATACTTGGCTCGCCGTTCAGAACGCTCTTGCGACTTTATCTATTTATTTATTTATTTGTTTTTTATGGTCCTCTTTTGGATAAGAATATATTATTTAAGCTATTATTTATTTAATATATATTTTTTAAAATTGAATATCTAGACTAAGATCTAGTTTGACATAATCTAAAAAAATCAAAAAATTATTATTCTATTTAAATCATATCAACTTATTTAAATTACATCATCTCTCTAGCACATCACTTCAAATTCAACTCATATTTTATGTTTTTTTGTAAAAAATTAAAAAGTATATTTATTTAGATCATCTTAAACAACCCCTAATTTGTACCATCTTAAATAATTCTTAAATAATTCTACAATTCTGAAATTAACAACGAGACAAATCTCCAATGATCTCTTAAAATGACTTAAATTTGATATTTTAATCTTATTTCTAAATCTTTAGTACTTAGTAAACTCCTTGAAATTTTATTTAAACAAATGTTAACAAGTATTGCTAATGTATTTTTAATGTTTAGATTACCCTAAAAAATATTTTTAAAATTTTGTAAAAGTTAAAAACATTTTAAAATAAATGAAAAGTATTATGAAATAAATCAAAATTAATAATCCAATCATTTTAAAATAAACACTTTATCAAAATTTCATTTTTCTTACAAAGAATATAATAATCCAATCATTTATTACTGAGCCATAGCCAATCCTAGAAGACATTATAAAACTAAAAATTAATAATTCATCATTTATAATCTTTTAGATGTTGCATAAGTAGAAAATACTGGGAAAAAAAAAAAGAAAAAATTAATGAAATATCCCAATCTAACTTTGTGCAATAGGAGAGGTCTAAGATGTTCTTTTTTATTAGCTAAAATCCTTCGATGTAATTTTTCTATGATCATATTAGAGAAATGTCAAAATTTCTCTGTAATTATATTAGAGAAATTTCTCAGTGTTGAGGTAGAAATTTCTCTGGCTGGGCAAAATTTGTTTGAGTCAAATTTTCTCTATGAAAATTTTGAGAAACCTTAATTATTATGAAAATATTATATATCATTTATCTTATAAAATTTTAATATAAAAAATCTTTTAAAAAAAATTTCCAAAAAAGTGTTATAATTTAATAAATAAACTAATCATGAAAATAGAAATAATACGCTCCAAGAGTCATTCAGTAACCATTGATTACTATTGCAATCTATATAAAAATAAAAAAGAAAAAAGAAAAAAAAAAAGAGAAAGAGAAAGAAATAAATTGATATAAAATGAAGAAAAAAATGCTTAATGTAAATATTTTTTAAATTTCATTTCATATAATAGCAACGAAATTTTTAACTCGTCTACTAAATATAACAGAAAAAATAATTAGGTAAATTATTAATATGTTATAATAATTGAACTTAATTCTTATTAAATCTTATTGAAAATAAGTCTTAGTAAAACTATCGTTAAAAATAATTTTTGTTGACTATTTTTTACATATGTCGTTAAAATTTGACAATTAACTTTTTTTTTGTCACGATTTTTATAAATTATTACTAAAACTTATAATTAATGACGTTTTTCTGTGACGAATTTTTCAAACTATCGCTGAAAGTTGAAAATTAGTGACTTTTATAATTAATAACATTTTTTGTGACAAAATTTCAAACTGTCGTTAAAAATTAATAATTAGTGATTTTTTTTAATAGTATTTGATGAAAAACGTTATTAATTCTCACAGGACCTATTTTATAATAAATTCACCTATTAAAATCTATAC